TGCTCATTCACACCCAGCAAAGTCTTTCGAGGGAAGATTTATAGTCACAGACCTTATCTGGCTTGGAAAGCTGCCAGGCCGATATTTGCAAAACTTGGCAAGGTTTCTCGGAGAGTCACAAGCCAATTAAGCGAACTAATGGTCCCCTGCAAACTCCACTCCCCTTTCGCTCCTCTTTTATTTCCTCTGGGAGGGGCCATTCATCGTCCATTTGTGGCCTTACTCCCAAGTCGACCCCTGTTCTTTAGCTGTTCCCTTCGTCTGGCCACTCTGCGCATGCGCACACTGGGAACGGGCTCCAGCTGCTCCAGAATTTCTCACTCACCTTGTAAAGTTTTTGTGTCTTTTTTCCTTTCCTTACTTGTGTTCGCATGTTAATTTGTTTTGTTAAAATGCTAATTTTGATAATATTGCAAGTTGCTTGAGTTGCAGTTGCAAGTTCAGAGTTTTTGAAGTGGTCATGTATAGTGAAAAGCCATAAAATAACTTAATGCTATTCCATCCTTCCGAGGTCACTAAAATGAGGACCCAGATTGTTGGGGGCAAGAGGCTGACTCTGTAAACTGCTTAGAGAGGATTGTAAAGCACTGTGAAGCGGTATATAACTCTAAGGGCTATTGCTTGGGAAGGAAGGAAAGGAAAGGAAAGGAAAGGAAAGGAAAGGAAAGGAAAGGAAAGGAAAGGAAAGGAAAGGAAAGGAAAGGAAGATGGTGCAGTGGTTAAAGTGCAGTATTGCAGGCTAACTCTGCCCACAGCCACGAGTTCGATCCCAACCGGCGGAAGGTTGACTCAGCCTTTCATCCTTCCAAGGTGGGTAAAATGAGAACCCAGATTGTTGGGGGCAAGAGGCTGACTCTGCAAACTGCTTAGAGAAGGCTGTAAAGCACTGTGAAGTGGTATATAAGTCTAAGGGCTACTGCTATCTGTAGCAAGGAAGAAAATAGTCATCTGTTCTTCTTTTCCACGTACAGAAAACGTCAAACTCAACGCATACTTTATCATGTATGCTCTCTTAACACATCACCGGGATGTTTTTGTTGCAGAGGTCAAAGTGGCCGTCCTTGGACAAAGGCTATTGTTTCAATCTGATATTGCAGAGTTGGGATTGCCATCACACTATTGACTTACCTTCTCAATGATTAAACAGGGACCAAAGTTCCTTCTCGCCAATCAACCTTCCAATGAATACAAAATGATGTCAAATCCAACAAACCTCCTTGCAGGTAATATTTCCCACTCTTTCAACACCCAGCGTTGCTTTCCTCTTTTCTTATTCCCTTCCTGGGGTTTACTTGGAGGTTTGGGGGAAATATTGACTTCATACCCTGGTTGACCACAATAATAATATTCGGGATTAAGTCTGCTCGTCATTTTGGGGGAATTTGAGTCCCATTTTTTTTTCTCTTTTCTGGATTATTCCATGAATTGTGCCTCTTGTCCATTGCAATTCTGAATGCATGAATGTTGGTGGGAGGGGAAGAAAATCCTTTTTTAAATATATATATATATATTTCCTTTATTCAATCCCATTCCTTTTGCTTTAGTTCTCCACTGTCACAACAATTAAGACAGATAAATTGGGAGCCTCTCCATCTGCATATAGGTAAGTAGGAACCAATCTTATTTTTTTTTGTAGATTCTAGAAATAAATGGGCTGTCATAAGACATGACATGTCGTGAAGGGACGCGGTGGCTCAGTGGCTGAGATGCTGAGCTTGTCGGTCAGAAAGGTTGGCAGTTCGGCAGTTCGAATCCCCAGCGCCGCGTAACGGAGTGAGCTCCCATTACTTGTTCTAACTTCTGCCAACCTAGCAGTTCGAAAGCACGTAAAATATGCAAGTAGAAAACTAGGAACCGCTTTTGGTGGGAAGGAAACAGTGTTCCGTGCGCCTTTTGGCGTTGAGTCATGCCGGCCACATGACCATGGAGATGTCTTCGGACAGCGCTGGCTCTTCGGCTTTGAAACGGAGATGAGCACCGCCCCCTAGGGTCGGGAATGACTAGCACATAGGTGCGAGGGGAACCTTTTACCTTTACATGAGACATGGGATTAATCATGTTGATGCTATGCAGCTTTGATCCTTAGGAATTCAGACCCAGTTTATCTTTCGAAGTTTGACTCGCACAATACAGCCATCCTCAAATTCACCCAGCGGATTTGAATCTGTCTGGTTCAGGTGAACCCTTCCCTTATTGTTAAAGTTTAATCTGGCGGCGATCCTGTGTATCCAGTTCTACTATGAACTGTCCCCTGATTTGAAAAAAAAAGAAAAAGATCTCATCTGTATCCATCTGGGTGGTAGAAAAAGAATTCAAATAAGAATTCCATTCCAATTTGCAAACCAAATGCACGAAAAAGTAGCAAACGCAGAAATGCCTGACATTCTCTGAACCGATGGAGGAGCTGATCACTGTTAGGAATATAATCTAACAGTTGGGTTGGCAATATATAAATCATATAACAATGTTTGTACCCGTTTCTTTAAATCAGACTGTACAATTCTTGCTGAATCATTCGAAGCGCCTGTTTAGAGCAGTG